TAGAGAGGCGTGGCTCTAGATAGGAGGTGCATGAGCCAGGATACAGTATTCTTGAAGATTCTTCATGGGTACGTCGCATTTGACCAGCGGATGAGTGGTGGCCGTATTCCGGTCGCCGAGGGGGACTTCCATTAATGTGAAAAGGTGGAACCTCGGTGTGGCACACAGCCCGTTTCGACGGGTTCAGTCAAGGAACCAGAGTTAAAGGGTGTCGAGTATGGGGATGTTGGAGTACTGGGCTGAAGAGGTTGGGGGAGGGGGGGGGAGGAGGCCTATTCCAATGAAGCCCTAGGGAGGATGTGTGGAGTGGGTATGGGTTAAAGAACTGATACAAGCCATGGCATATTCCCGAAATGCTCTTTGAAACCGATCGCGATCCATCCGTCATACACTTGGCATTTCTATCAATTGGTTAATTCTTCACCTTTTATGCTACTGTAGCTCTTCACTGGAACTCTTAAAAAATCAATTGATACCTATAGTTTTGAGAGATTTTTGTGAGCAAGCTTGGCATCTCGGAATTAGTGTGACCATCGAATTGTTCAAGCGGCAGAACTCGAGGAATTGAAGGAGGATGACTGACGAGTTGAAAAGCTGACAGTGAACTTCGTTGCTGGAAAAGAGAATGCTGGTCGGTATGTCGAGTAACGAGGCGAAAACAAATTCGGAATAATAACAAAACTTCCTTCCAGGAGGAGGTTTGATGGGAGTTATCCTGTGGGAGGGGAAACGGGCAATTTTTCGAATGCTGTGTTGAGCAACGAAACACTACGAGTTTCATTTTGAAGAGCCATGCAGGACAAAGAGTCAAGGACGGCAACAAACGGTTACGATTCGGAGCTGTCAAGTACCTTTGCGATGCGTCATGCATTTTGCTTCCACAAGGAATCGCGGAAACGTCTAAGCGCGATACTGAGCAAATAAGATTCCTTGGATTGTGAACAGTTTCTGTTATAAAGCGGGAGACCTATAGGAGAAAAAGTGGATGAGTTGAGATGGTGAAGAGCGATCTTTCGGTCATCCAAATATCGCGTGTCATTCCGCCGCGCAATTGAATACACTAACGGCTGTGCTTACACAGAAAGTTCAAAAGCTTTTAGAAAGAACAACCTTTCCCACAACACCCTGGGCCCTATTTTGGCTAAATTACAAGCATTACTATGGCTATGTACGAGAGAGAAATTTCCACAGGATCCGCGATAAGGTAAAGAAAGAGGTTGAAAACGTGGCGTCGGGAGGGTAGTATGGACCGCGACGAACAACCTTGTACCGGTACTGGTTTCGCGGCAAAAATTGTAAGGGAGGGGCGCTATAGCGCAATATAGGTTCAGTGACGCCTCCTTTTTTCCAGTGACTCCGCCTCCAGACTCCGCCTTCAAGGCCCGCCTTTCAGTGAAAAGCGAAGCTGCAGGACGAAAAAGCATGAAAATCGTCACTTGTACGGTCGTAGAGTTCTTATCGGGAATCAGCTGTGCGGATGGGGCGTAGTGTGGAGTTCATTGGGCACGTACAAACTGGGATTGAAATGGGGTTCTATCTAGGGCAGTTGGCATGTTTTTTGCTTTTTTTTCTTCACTGTCGAGTTACTCAGCACCTTATCGTATGAATGCATACCCCTAATCCACTATCTGTGATGGACAATGATCGCGTGCTTTGGTTTCAAGAGGGTGCATAGTATGAAACTCATGGACGACATGGAGACTTATAAATGCGTGTAAAGCTATAAAATGGAATTCAGTGAAGCTTATTTAGGTCACCTTGAGAAGATTAAGCTCATATGTGATAGTTCACAAGTCTCACCAAAACAGCTTGGCGAATCTTGTTCCATTTCACAGCTTTACAAGAGATTACAAGTCATACAAGTCCCTCCAAGACGAGGAAACTGAAGAAGCTATCGAACTAGCAAAACGATCCCCTCTCCTCCCCTCTCGTCCCCACCCCCGCACTACTAAAATGAACAGCTCCAAGCTTAGTATTGTTACGCAAGTTCTCCATATTCAGCGATAGTTCTAGAATAGTATCTCCTTTAGATAACCTTTCTTGAACCTATTAAGGCATTTTTTCGCGAAGCTATTTTTGTCTTCATACCGGCTCACCTCCACTGGCCCACCTACACCTCTACCCGGCCTCAGTGGGCCTCTGAACGATGACTTTCCCTGCAAGAGCCATCCTCATTCACAGGTGACGGCTGCCTTCGTGCAAATCCTGGCAGAAGACGAGTTTCGTTGAGAACTAGCTATGATGAAGGTTGGCATCAGACGGGGTAAAAATTGAGGCATGGAGGCGAAGCACACGGGGTAAGACGGTCAACCCGCTTCGTGAACAACGTAGCAGCTGATCGTCCCCATCTTAGGGAGATGCAGTTTAGAAAATTACGAATCAATTTGGATGCGCATACCATAAAGTTCCACGAGCGCTAAGTCAAAACAAGGCTAGGGGGACTTGTTCCTGTCACGTAGGAGCAGTTCGGCTTCATGTCCGAAAGGTCCACCACTGATGCCAGCATCATCGCTAGACAGGTGATGGAGAGGCACCAGACGCGACGACCGCTACCTACCCTCCCTAGGTTCCGGAACGATTGATCTTGTGAAGGATATGTGGGGCTGAGGCAGCTGCATCCCCCCCCCGCCAACCCTCGCGGTCGCTGATAAGAGGAGGTAACGTACCACGTTGGGGAACACTAAGGAGAATTCCCACGTCGGAACTCATCCTCTTCCGGTAGGAGTCATGGCAACAGAACTCGTAGAAGGGCCACTGAAAATCATCCTTCACGCTCATGACATTACCCTGATAGCAGATAGCAGGGGAGGACTCCAGGGCAAGGTGCAAAGTTGGCAGGAGGTGCTCACTGAGAACGGACTCCAAATTGAATGTAGAGAAGACAAAGTACTTGAGCTCTGAAGAACGCACTGGACTCGTAGTAGACCGCCATGGGGGAAAAATCGAGAGGGTGAATACCGTGCCGTCATTACCTAGAAATACGTCTAGCCGTTGACGGTAGCGTGATCCAGGCAGTAAAGGCCCGAATAAACGCGGCTTGTATGAAATGGAGGAAGTCAGTGGCATCTTCTGCGACCAGCGGCGTCCTGGAATGGCGTTTTTTTTTTCAAGGGCAAGGTGCATCGAGCAGTAGTAAAACTTGCAATGCTCCACGGCAGCGAATGCTGGCCTATATGAAGGAATAATGAAAGACAACCCAGAAATTCACTTCTGCAGAATATTGAGCAATGCTGAGGAGGGCTTACTGCGGGCACCCGAGTGAGAGTAGTAGGAAGACAACGAAAGACGTCAGACGCGTTCATTGGCAGTACGTCACAATGAAGGCATTGAGACAGCGGTGCGATGGTTAACGCACACTCTTCGAAGACCTGGAAGGCGCTCAATAGGAAAATTTCTGGACATTGAAAAACTTGGGAAGCGACCCGAGGAGCGCCAAAGAGTAGATAGAAGGACGTCGTCAAGAAGGACCACACTTAGGTGTAACAAGATAGCGGACCTCTGGGAATAACGCTAGGGTGAGGAAGAAGAAGAGGGAGAAAGACTAACGCTTAGGTTATTGGCTACTTGAAACTAGTTACGTTTCATGGAAGTGAACTCGTGATAAGACAACAATAAACAAGTCGAGGAACAAAAAGTAAGCAGTCAAAAAACAACTTAAATAGAATAAATTCAACAACAAGTAATAATAACTACAGTAAATGAGTAATGTATTGACTGGACAATAAAATCAATGAATAATAAGCAATACAGATAGATAAGATAGAAGATGAGAATGGAAAAATGAACTCACAACGCTCTCGTTTTCCGATGGATTCGATGTCATAACGTTCGTGTACTTCTCCGGTTCTATCTTCTCGCAGATTCGTGGATTAATAGGATCGCGCTTGTTTTGGACACCTAGAAAACAGACTGTGGCCGATCATTGAACGATAGTTTAACTACTAAGCAAATTATCAGTCCATCTAGAACGAAAAATGTGAAGGGAGAGGCCCATTCAGTACCTAAAGACAGGCCACACCTCTAGAAAAAATTCAAAGGAAATCTCACCTTCTGGCAGCATTCCTACGTTCATGCACTTCTGCAGACGGCACTTGCGACAAATACATCGTTGGGCTGAAAGAAAATCGTGCAAAAACGAATGACTTTTCCACATAACGTTCAAATGCTCGGTCCACGTTGATCGTGTAGGTGGGAACAGTCAATTATTCTGCCTTCCTCAATCGCGCACTCGCTACAGGAGGCGCGCAATCGTCGCCCCATGTCCCCTGTTAGGAATCGTTTTTTCTTCTGGTGCAAGCCCATCTAGCATCTCTACTCCCAGCCAGAGCACAATGAAGCTCAGTAAAGCTACCGTGAACTTTGCTAAAGGAGGCTTGTAGGGCGGAGTGACTGAGGCCGTACTTTAGTGAGAAGTGTGGGGCAACGCCTTTCAGCTCACTTTCCTCCACTTATGGACGACCTCCGCCGAATTCTCTCCAGATCCTGTGGACACACTACCTGTATTGCGAAAGAATAAACGAAAATTCTTCCCGGAGACACTCAGTGATCACTTGAGAGAAGGAGACCAGCTCCGCAACCACAAAGACCGCAGCTTCCATCACTCCAGAGTGTAAGGCAATGACACTACGAGGTCGCAAAAACCAGAAATCTCGCTAAAATACCTACTAACTGTGGCAATGCGACTGATTTCATTTTTTTGGTGTGCGCCTGTCTGATCTCTCTGAGCTTCTCTGCGTCTCTATTCACCGCACACTCTCCGATGACACAAACAACTGAGCCTTATTTGGGGCATTTCGACAATTTTTCCGGTCTTCCCTCACTACTAAGTCAAACATCATCGGTTAATTGGAGTTCGGATCCCATTGTTCACGACCTTGCACCCAAAATAAATCCCCCAAAAAGGTGTAGGATTAATACGTCTAGCAGAACAGAACTCGACTCCCGTGAACAGGCGCTGGCTTCCTTCCCAAGGAAGGTACCTTTATAGCGCCTCATCAAGCTGCAACATACCGACCCGGACGCCCAGCGCACCCGCCCGCCTACAAATGTCCGACCGACGGTGATGCTCCTATCGCTTCATTTGCGAAGTACAATATGGAGCGAAGGGATTGGTATGAAGCGGCCGCAGTGCTGCATGGATATATGGTTGCATTTAGTGGCACAGTGCCAGCGGGAAACTCGTCCGAAACTGCTTTTTGAGACGTGTAGAACAGTGGCTTCTTTGCAGATTCTTGACCGTCTCGCTTTGCTTTTTTCGCCATTTTCCCCAATACATAGCACTCCTGCTACCATTCTAGAGCGAGTACCAGATTATTATGCCTTATGCTTTCAAACAGCACGTTAAATCGACAATGCGTACAGGGCTATATAGTGCTCTTCGTTGAAGAAGGCGCTGGGTGGCGCCAAGGTGCAACATGCCGAGCCAGACGCCCATCGCAATCGTCCGCCCAGAAATGGCTGAACAATCACATCGATGCTGATACTTTTATTGTTTCATTTATAAAGCGCAAATGATATAAAGCGTTGCCACATGGACATATGAATACATACGTGCAGCTGTATTCATCAAAACGGTTGCCACAATGCCGACGAGAAACTCGTCCAAAAATGCTCGTTCACTGCCGTGCAGAAGAACGAACGTTTTTTTTCCGCAGGTTGTTGCCGTTCAATTTCGCTTTTTCGTCATTTTTCCGCTATGTAGCACCCTGCTACTATTTCCGAGCAAGTACCAAACTATCGTGCCTTAGCCTTTCAGTACAACGCTTTCTTAACGTCAACATCTATGAATCACAGAAACATCAAGTATGAAGCATTCGTCAAAGTGATTGACTCTCGACTCTGAATGCAAAGGGTGTAGTGAGTACTAATAATAGCAAGTATTTAATCGCATCACTTAATAATGACTGCAACAATAGTACCCTCGTCACGGGCAGTGATTAGGGCGGTCGTCAACGGGCCGCAGCGCGTGCCAGGAACTATTTGCTTTTTCCAGACTAATTTAGTCATTTTTCCAACTTTTCACTGTTTTGGCTACTTTTTCCCAGATTAGCAGCTCCTTATCTTCACAAGGTGGAAAAAATGACTAAATTAGCCTGGAAAAGCAAATAGTTCCTGGCACGCGCTGCGGCCCGTTGACGACCGCCCTAATCAACTGCCCGGATGACGAGGTTACATTAGATCCTCGTTTAAAGTGCAGCATGTATAACTTACATTTTATTTATCACAGAAATTCGGTTCGCCCATGTCGCACAGTACGTACTTCTTTCGCATCGCGCTATGCGAGCGCCCGAAAAACGCGGCCACATGTGCACGACCATGACTCGATTCCGAATGGGCGGCCATCTGCTCGGTACCGAAACAAATACCGACAAAACACGTCCCGTCATATCTGAAATCAGCGTAAATACTAGTCACAGAGATCAGATTGTTTTCAACGTATACTAGTACATGAGATCAAGACTGTTTCCACATGAAGACGTCATAGAAATAAGAGTACTCGTAAAAGTAAAGTACCCAAACAAAGAAGATCGCTCAAACCAATTCAGAAGAGAAGAAGTAAAACGTAAAAAAAACTACTAGAAACATAGATGGCACGTTTCCGTCCTGCCACATATGAACATCAAGCTGAAAAAAAGGCTTTGCAGGGCAGTAAAGCACTTTCTCAGGAACCAGTATGGATGGGAAATGAGAAACAGATACGGCCTAATGACTTACTTTACCTATGTATAAGTGGGTCGCGTACACCCCTTGCCCCAGTAGAGTAGACGTGCTAGGGTTCAAGGCTCAATTCAGGGTAGACTGTGGTTCCAGATAAAAGGCCGACAAGGGCTAAAACCAATAGCATACAGACGCATTCTCGCTGCTAAGTTCTGTTGAAGAACATCCCTGGCGCAGTTCGGGTAGGGGAGAGGTAAGAGAAAGGTGGCCTTTCGCACTTTCGCTGCTTCCCGTTGTGGTGTTCATTGCCTTACGAAAGTTGACAGGTATTCCTAAAAGTTGTCAAGTAGTTTCTACAAACTTTGACTAGCATCACTTCATAGCTTCACAAGCTTTCGTAGATCTGTATTTATGGCTCCGAAATGCGCCCCGCCCGATGTGTGCCATACCTCGTATCTGAGAAGCCGCCACATAAATTGTGTAGTGTACCTTTCAGGGTGGTCAGGGAACAAGAGAGCCCTCAACAAAATCCTGTCATGACCGGCTGGGCAAGGTGCAGAAATGAAAAGCACCATATACGAATA